GAATTCTTAGTCTTCACTTTGGAATGAGTAGGTGTTGGCTACGTGCTTTTCAGCTGACTCAACTGCCTCAGTCTTGGCTTTTCTTTGTTGTTGTGAAGTCCCCTCATTCTTTGGTCCTGAGAGAGAACCAACAAGATAAATATTCATTAAACCGCTTAATACTTTGAGCACCTGATATACTTAATGTTGACAGGATATGAATATCTTTTGAATAAAAGCCTTCAATACATTGCAGAATTTTTAAGAGATAAAGGCTTCTTTCCTAAGCGTTTTGAGAATCATATCCACTGCATAGTAATAGTTTATGACCAAGGGTAACTCAAGAAAAATTAAGATCTGAGGAGAAACCAGATAGCAGTGAGCATAGAAAGCAGATTTAAGGCAAGGATTCTGAAGCTTTGTCTGACATACTTTAGGACATGTTGCAAGGAGGGACCAGTCCTTGGAGAGAAATGTCATGCTTCGGAGGGCACAGGATAGAACAGGGTTTAGGGCTGTTATACATAGGGTTGCGGGGACTCAAAGGCACATAACAACAACAACAACAACAACAACAACAACAACAATATTAGATTATGTGGGCTGTCAGATGTTCATTTGTCATCCATTCCTTGATTATTATTATATTGCTTGTTATAGTTATTGCATCACTGATTGTTATTATAATAGTAAAGGACCACAGCATGTGTGGCGGTGGTGGTGGTATTATGTGCTGTCAAGTTGCCTGCGACTCATAGTAACCCTGTGTCCAAAAGCCCTGAACCCTGCTCTGTCCTGTACCAACTGTATTATCTCTGACACATCTACCACCATTACCCCAGTCACTGAATCAATACATCTCACCGATGATCTTCCTCTCCCGCACCGCCCCTCCACCCTCTCAAGCATGACATCCCTCTCCAAGTACTGGTCCTTCCTTGCAGCGTGCCTAAAGAATGTCAGATGGAGCGTCAAAATCCTTGTCAAAGTAGGTCAGACAGAGCTTCCAAAGAGCAGCTTAGTTTCACTCTTTCCTGGATGAACCTGCACATTACATATGGACCAGCTAAGCAAAAGATTGACAGCTTGAAACCACCAGGTTCTATCAGGATGTGAATGAAACAGTCCCTTCCTATAAGAATTTAGTTTCTTCACCCTGTTTGAAAAAGTTTTTGAAACCTGGACTGGGAACAAACATTTGGTAACTTCATCTCAGACAAGAGTCTTATAACAAAAGTTTACAGAATACTCCTGGGCCTCCACCAGAAAAAGACTGATAACCCAATTGAAAAATGGGCAAAAGACATGGAAAGAATTTACACAGAGGAAGATATTCGAATGGCAGACAGACACATAAAGAAATGCTTCAAATCACTGGCAGTAAGAGAGATGCAAATCAAAACCACAATGAGGTACCATCAAAGTTTAACAGGGCAGCAATTAATAGATGTTGGAGAGGATGTGGCGAGAAAGGAACTCTTCTACGTTGTTGGTGGGATTGTAAAATGGTACAACCATTCTGGAAAGCTGGAGCTTCCTCAAAAAGCTGAACACAGAAATTTCATAGGATCCAGCTATTCCACAATTTGGAATATGCCCTGAGAAAATGAGAACTGAGGCACAAACTGAGATTTGTATACCAGTGTTCATAGCAGCATTATTCACCATCGCAGAAATGTCCAGCTCAAATGTCCAACCACAAATGAATGGATTGAGAAATGATGGTACATTCACACAATGGAATACTATGCAGCACGCAGGAGCAATAACTTTGTAAATTATTACCTAACTTGGGAGGGACTAGAGAGCATTATGCTGAGTGAACTAATTCAGTTCCACAAAGATAAATATTGGATACGACCATGACTATAGAATGAGTATAAGGATCCAGGAGGGGTGGGAGAGGCTGGAAGCAGAGAGATGTGGATGTGCAGGGAGAAAGGGGGGATTATCATTGGGTTGTACAATTTGATGGGTGGGGTGGTGAGGGAAATGGAAAGAATTTGTTCAAATTTGTATTTGAATTTTGTAAATAAACTAGTGGTAAAATTAAAAAAATACCAAAAAAAAAATCCCCCTTAAATTAAAACAAAACAAAACAAAAAAGAATTTACAGACTCAGAAATCTGTTGAAGGATCTTTAAGAACTGCATTGATGTTTTGACTGGTTATTGTCTTACTCTGATTAGTACATTGTACTATTTTGTGTATTTTTAATACAAAAATCTCTAGGTAATCAACCTGCAATATATTTTTATATGAAGTGTGTCCTAGAAATGTGATTTTATTAATTTTTTTAAAAACCCACCTGGTTGGTTGTTCCATCAAAATTTACTGAATGACTCATTCTTTCCCCATTAACTAAAAATAATACCTTCATCTAATTTTAAGTTTCCAGGTATGGATACTATTATTGTGTTTATTTATTTTTAGAATCACCTTTTATTTTAGCTCTTTTTGATATCTGGCAATGTAAAATTTTAAATGAGAAAATAACATTCTTAACCACAATAGCTCCAAAACTTAAGTTCATACTCTTACAACTTATCATTTAAAAAAAAATCCATAAATATTTCTCTCAGATTTATCTTAGCCTTTTTGTGTACCTCGTAGTATAGCTAAGAAGCCTTGGGGGTTTTAATGTATAAGATAATGAACAGGCTACTGACCAAAAGGTTTGCAGTTCAAATCCACCAGCCACTTGTAAGGAAAGGATGGACAGTGTCGTCTCATGAAGACTTACGTCATGGAGAGCTCACTGCAGGGTCACTGGGCATTGCAGTCAATTCCCTGGCTTTGGGAGCCCTGCAGGGTCATGGTTGGAGCACTGGGCTAACTAACAGGATGTCACCAGTTGAAACTCATCACTTATCCCGGGGAGAAATATAATAGCTTCCGTATGATGTGGTCTTGGAACTAATGGTTCCATCCCATGTTCAAAGGTCTCTGTGGGCCATTCTCAACCCAGCAGCAGTGTATTTTGGTTTGATTATCATATTGCTAGGTCCTGTAAATCTGTTTTTAGATACATGATGGTTTCTTTTGCAGTTTGTGATATTTCTGTTAGCTGTAACTTGGCTTGTCAACGTATATGTTTTCTCTATCAACTCCTCCTGGCTTAGTGGTAAGAGATTGCACTGCCAACGCATAGGTATGCAGTTTGAATCCACCTGGTGCTCCACTGGAGAAAGATGGGCAGTCCCCTCCCACGCAGTTAAGCACCTCTGGAAAGTTGCTGGAGGGTCAGCTGTCAGTTGGTTTGGACCCAATGGTGAACCACCAACACTACCACCACAAAAACATACCAACTCCTCCTTTATCAACTATTTTGTTATTCAACCTTTTGCAACAATGTTTAAAAATCACACACCAACCCTGTCTATTTGATACATTATTGACTATGTCTGGTAGTAATGAACAATGAGATGTGAAACAAGAGCTGGCTGGAACAGTCAAGGTCATTGTCTCCTGGGCTTGGCCTTCCTCTCTGTTAGTGGTTTCTGTAAGAATGTAATTTGACATCATGTAACGATCCAACAGTTAGTGATCTGGTGTGGTCCCCCTCATTTTCACATAACAACTCTTTCACATAACGACCTGGTGAAAACCTGATGGTGCTGCTTTGTGAAGAGTCATGAACTTCCATTTTAGCCATTTCCCCTTTATCTTGGCAAGACACCCTAAATCCTTTCTAGAACATGCCATCATGTAAATGTATCTTACATCATGTAAAACAACTCACATTTTTAAGAGATTCTAAGAGTGCTGTAAAGCTTATTTTGTTGTAAATTTTAATGTTACACAAGCAGCCCTTTTCACTCTTTGTGTGTGTGTGTGTGTGTACCGTCAAATCAGATCTGACTGGTAAAGGAGGAGATTGCCCCTCCTTCTCCAGCAGAGCATCTGGTGGATTCGAACCATGCACCTCTGGGATTGCAGTGCAGCTTCTTGCCAGTAGGCCACCAGAGGTCCCAGCCCTTTTCACTCTTAAGGAAAAGAATAATATTCTCTGTAGTTGACTCTCTACAGAGCCTTTTGTTGAGGTCTAATGTGGTGTCAAAGAGAAAGATCCCGTGGTGAGCGTCTTATTATATCCCTTGTCAGATAATACTGTCCTCTGACTCATAGTTCCGTCATCTGTTGAATGTCTTTTCCTGGTTCTTGGTATGATGGGTGATTTTTTAAATTTATTTTCTGGAACATTTGTCTGACTCTTGATTGTATCTGAATCTACTGTTTTATCAGGCCATCATTCTGTTTAAAATTAAAATACATTCCTAGCGAGTCAGAGCTGACTCATAGCCGACTCCAGGTGGGTTCTGAGAGACCGTGAATCACCTGGAGGACTTTGCCCAGCTCTCTCCCCAGGAGCTGCTGGCGGATTTGAACCACCAGAAAAGCACGGCCTGCCAGGGGAGTCTGTGCAGCTCCCACTGACAGCTCCACCAGGGCTCCGCTCCAGTCTTGTGAAGGTTCACCATACAGGCTCTGTTTGCGCTGGAGGCTTGTTTTCAGGTGATGGCTCGGTTTTCTGAGCCCCTTGGGTGTAACTCTGGTCCATTTTGTTTTTCTAGTGTGTTTGTAAGTTTCCATTGGTAGAATGCACTATCTACGAGGACCCCAGTATAGAGGGGGATTCGGGCTCTTTAGTACATCTTTGTTCTTAATTTGCTTCCTTTTTTTCCTGTTCCTTTGACTAGAAAATTCAAGCCTCCCACTATTTTTTTTAAAGCCCAGCTATGCCTTTTTACAAATCTACTTTGAAGTCTCATCAGTTGGCAGTTCTCTAGGCAGTCCTTGTCCTGTTCAACTTCTGACCAATTTCAAGGTTATTCAGTTGAGGAGAGGACCAGGGAGTCCAACCCATCCCAACTTCTTTCAAAACCAGATGACACCCCCTGTTATTTATAGTGAAGAGTTTTACGTGGAAAAATATAGAAAACATATAAAATTAGATTTCGCTTTCAGCGTAGTCTGTTCTTGGGTTTTATAACATGTGCATGTTCATTTTTGTAGGAATTATGTTGGAGTATGAAAAAGGTGGAGAAATGAAGACCAAATCCATAGACTTGCTTGATCTCAATCCTAGGTAAGCTGGTTTGTGTCAAGGCAACTTGTATTTCATCTCCACTGTTTTTACAGAGAAGCTGTGACATAGGGTGAGCTGAATCAGCCCACCAGAAAATCCTTTAAAGAATTAGGTCATGTTTTCTTTTGTATTGTTTGTTGTTTCACTCTTCAGCGCATCCTTCTCCAGTATCTTGCTGAATAAGGAGGAGGGAAAAGGGATTAACATCTGTCTCCCTTTTTTCTTTCTTTGTTGATGATCAGCTGTAAACTGAGATTACCCAAGGAGCAAATTGTGTCTTCCAGCTCATCTGCGGTGCAGAGTTCCAAAGATGTGTGAAATTTCTCCCCACACATTAGCAAATGGGCACGGTGAAGCCAGTGGGTTCCTTTGCCCTGTGAAACCACTTTGCACTGTATTTACTGGCTAATCAACCCATCCTTGACCAAGCAGAATACTCCAATCTGTAAATTCTTTACCTTCTATCAGGAAAATGGTATGATAGCCCATACCAATGTCAGTAACTATAGTTCAGAGGGTATTTAATTCTGTTTAGGCACTGATTTAAATCCTTTATTTATTTAATTCTGATTTAAATGAAAGTTTCTAAAGAGACTGGTTTTTCATTCTTTGACTCACATCCTTTTTTTTTTTTTTTTAAAAAAAAAAGAGAATTGATATCTGAGCAGATGAGAACAGGTATAAAATGAAAGTATGGATCCAACACATATTTAATTGTTGTGAATAAACTGTGTATTTGTCACATAGCTTGTGCCAGTCTCAGGCTTTCCACATGTCTCGTTTAGTGACTTCACTTACACATCAGTCGTGTTGTATGGTCATTATCCGTGTTCACAGACCTATTTCCAGTAACAGAAAGAGGAAGCAAAGAATTGCTTCCTAACAGTGACTTTCTATTTCCCCTTCCTGATGCTGAGCAAATAATTTGAGAAGCTGGACGAACGTGGCTTCAGGATTAGAGGAAGACTCGTCAACAACCTGTGTTAGGCACACAACACAAACCTTGCTAGCTGACAGCAAGGAGAACTTGAAATGCTACAGAAGATCAGACAATACAGTCTTCAATGTGGATTATGTCTCCGCCTCAAGAAGACGAAACTCGTCACCACTGGACTGACAAGCAACGTCATGATGTTGTGTGCCATTGACGTTGACTTGGAACTGACCCATAGCTGATCCTTCAGTGGCTTTTTTTAAAGTTCTATTTTAATTTATTTTCAAGTTGCACGTTTTCCTCCCTCCTTTCTTCACCCTTTCTCTGGCCCTCCCCACAATGCACCCCTTGTTCTAGATGTTTTCATACATATAATACCTAATCATATATTCTTTTTGGACAGATCTTCCCCCATCTGATTGAATGCAGTGTTCATTATCTATCCACTTTCCCCCCATTCTCTCCCCAACCCATGTCTGTCCAATTTTATAACATCAGTGTAATGCGCTATTTTTCCTTTGTGATTGAGATATTTCACTCAGCTTCATGTCCTTCAGGCTCCCCCATGTTGTATATTGTTTTACAAGTTCATAGAGGCAGTAAATCACACGGGAGATTTCCCACCGCTCTTCCAAAGAACAGCTGGTAGATTAGAGCCATGCACCTTTGGGATTTTAGTGCAGCTACTAGGCAACCACGTAAAGACTGAAATTGTCAATGATTTAATCTTACTTGGATCCACAATCAATTCTCTTGGTACTTACATTAAGAAAAAATAAAAATCAAAAGATATATTGCATTGAGCAAGTGCTCTGTTAGGGACTTCTCCAAAGTACTAAGGAGCAATGATGTCAGTTTAAAGGCTAAGGTGTTCCTTATTCAGGCCATGGTCTTTTCAGTCACTCACTATGTATCTGAGAGTTGGACAGTGAGTAAGGATGTGAGAAAAAGAATTGTTGCCTTTGAGCTGTGGTGATGGAGCAGAGCACTGAACAGCCCATGGACTGCCCAAAGAACAAGTAGGTATATATTTCTTGAAGAAAGTGCAGCCAAGAGTGTTCCTTTGAGGCAAGAGTGGCGAATCTTGGTTTCACATACTATGGGCATTTTGGTTGTTAGGAGGGGCTAGTCCTTGGAAAGGGACATCATATGTGGAAAGTCAATGAAAGAGAGGAAGACCTTCAATGAGATGGATTGACACAGTGACTGCAGCAAGGGGCTCAAGTGTGGAAGAGATGGTGAGGCTGGCACAGGACAGGACAGGGTTCCGATCTGTTGTTTATCGGGTCACAGTGAGCTGTACTCACGGTCCTCAACAACAATAACTACCACGCCCTAAAAAAGAGCCTTAGCATAAAATGGGTCAAACACTTAGCTCGTCAACTCAAAGGCAGGTAACTGAATTCCACGAGCTGCCCAGGGGAAGGAGGAGGAGTCAGTCCACTTCTGTAAAGACCTTGGAACCCGATTGTGTTCACTCCTAAAGGGTCCTCTGACTCAACAGCATGTCTTTGATTTTGTTCTGGGTTTCTCACCCCTGCTGGTACCAGAGGGAGCTCTGGTGGCCTAGTGGTAATAAGCTATGCTGCAGTCCCAAAGGCGTGTGGTTCGAATCCACCAGCTGCTCCACGGGAGAGAGAAGGGCAGTCTCCTCTTGTGTGATGAACTACCTCTGAAAACCTGCTGCTGGGTCAGCTGTGGATCGGTTCAGACTCGATGGTACACCGCCACCACCACCGCTGCCGCCACCACCACCACCAACACCGCCACCACCACAGCAGTGGTGCCAGGACATCGAAAGTATGTTGTTGTAAGAGAAAAGAGCGAGAAGAAGGAAGACGAGAATGTACTCGTGTTTAGAACCAACGTCCTGCGGCTTCCCCAGGTGCGCAGGCACGCGGCCTCCCTGGAAGGCACTCTAGAGAACCCACAGCACCTTCCTTCGTCCTTGCAACAGTGCTGCTTGTGGATTTTAGGGTACCTTGTGTTTTCTAGAACATTCTTAGAAGAGATGCTGCCATCTTTGACATTTTATAAATGTTGTGTTTTTCATGTGGTGAATGCATGCCAAATTTTTGAAACAGGAAAAAATGATGACTAACTATTGTGATTTGTGACACATTTCAGTACTAACATCAAGGCCTTGGTAGATGAGATCCAGAAAGCTGAGCCTCTGATCACAGCTTCCCGGACAGACCAAGTGAGAGTCTTAGTACAGAAACTGCAGGATAAACTCGGGCAGTTCAAGGACCACCAGTTCTACTTGTTTAAGGTAAGTCCCAAGCAGAAAAATAGCTGTGAAGTTTCTTACTTATCTGAAGTAAAATGACAGTGATGTTTACTCTTTCCTTAATATACCTCCTCCTTATTTATCAACAATAATCTTATTATTCAGTGTTTCTCACTTAAGACAGTTGGTTTTTTTAAAAAGTTTATTATTAATTTCAATGAAAATTTACAGACACTTTGGATTTCCATTCATTCATTGTTGCACTTTTCTCCCCTCCCAACCCTACCCAAGTACACTCTCCTTTTTGAAAAGTAAAAGAAAAATTCTTTGATTGTTTTATAATCCCTCCCCCGAGGTCCACTGCACTATGTAGCCTTCACTCTGGACTCCCGTCATGACAAAAATACTTAATCACATATCCCTTTTAAACAGTTTTCTCCCTCATCTGTTTCAATGCAATATACATTATTGAACCCATCTTTCTCAATCTCTCCCCAACCCCAATATCAGTCATGTTTTATAACAGTGGCACCATGCAGTATTTGTCCTTTGGTGACCAAGATAATTCACTCAGCATTATGTCCTGCAGGGTCACCCATTTTGAATAACATTGCATGAGTTCCTTGTTTTTCAATGCAGCGTAGTATTCCATTGTGTGAATATACCACAGCTTCTGTATCCATAAGCCAGTTGTAAATAAATATGCAATTTTGTGCTTTGACAACATATAGTAACAAATGGTTTGTTGTTGTTCTGTACCATAGAGGCAGAACCGGTCCATAGCTCACCCTCCATTGGGTTTTCAGAGACAGTAAGTTGCACAGGATTTTATTGCCCGTCTTTCTCCTGCAGAGCAGCTGGTAGATTTGAACCACATACCTTTGCATTTGGCAGTGCCATTTCTTACCACTAAGTCACTAGAGCTCTGTAAAACCATGAAGTTTGAATCCACCAGTTGCCATGTGGGAGAAAGATGGGCAGTTGACTCCCATGCAATTTGCTGCCTCTGAAAATCTGCTGGAGGGTCAGCTATGGGTTGGTTCTGACTTGATGGTACTCAACAACAACAACAACAAAGACCGTAGCAAACACTGAGTGGCACAGTGAGTGTAACATTGACTGTGGTGTTGAAGGTACTGTTGGCTGGCCAGGATGCTCCACGGTTTGGCGGTGATGTAATGATGGCATCTAGCGATTGTGTTTTGATGTAGTCATCCAGTTGTGTCATGATGTAGTCATCCTCTGTTCTGTGATCTGGTGGGACCATCCTCTGTTTTTACCTGGTGCTGAATTTTCACAGAATGGCCCAGTCTTTGGAACCTATGTCAGTAAGTGAGGCTTGGTTGCAATTTTTCCCATGAAGGAAATTTCTCCAAGTTTCAGCACCTCACATACAAACACTAAGAACATTCAGTACCTTCCTGTTTGTTGAGTGAATTCATAAAATTAAAAACATGTATTTTCTGAAAATCTGAAAAGAGTCGTGGTCATTTTGTTGTTAGATGCTGCTGAGTTGACTGTGACTAATCGCCACTCTGTGAACAGCCTGTCTGAACTCTGCCCTCTCCTGGTATCTTGAAATGGGGAAACCCCGGCTCTGGTCTACTTGAGTCCATTCTTACAATCACTGTCACTCTATCTTGTCAAGGATCTTTTTTTTTTAAGCACTGACCATCCTTCCCTCCTCCCCTTTCTAAATATGACGTCCTTCTCCAAGGACTGGCCCCTTCTGACAATGTGCCCAAAGTATAGGAGATGAGGTTTCACCCTTCCTAGGTGAGCATCCTGCTTGTATTTCCACCAAGACCATCTTTTAGCCCTCCCTGGGCCGTTTAATCCTCTTCTCTGACACCACAACTCAAAGGTTTTACTGTCTTATCCAACACCACGACTCACGGATGTTGAGTCTTCTGTCATCTTTAGTCAGTGTCTGACTTTTCAGATGCAGAGGAAGTCATAGAAGTGATGATAAATGTAGTCATTTGTTACAGCAAATGTGGTCTTAGGGGACCCTGGGGCTCTAGTCCTCAGGAAACTGGGCCACTAAGCCCAAAGGCCAGGACTTTCTGGTGATTCAGATCCGCCAGCGATCCTGAGCTGTCTCCGCCTGTGTGATTTACAGCCTCACGGACCTACTGAGGGCCAGCTAAGAGTTGGCTCCGACTTGACACCAATGAGTTTGAGTTTTGAGTTTCTTTATGAAATTTGTATGTAAACCAGGGTGTTTTTTTTAACACCACCTAAAATATTTATAATCACGAATAAAAAAAGGGAAAAAAAGAATAAAACCTTCTTTTTTATTCTATAATACTTAGTTTACTCCGATTGCATCTGATTTTCTGATTTTTATGATTTACACTGCTTTTCTTTTAACTGACTTAAATATAGTCATTCTGGTGAAATATGGTTATCATTTCACATATTCAGTGTCTTCCATCCAATCAATACACAACACTTAGGCACCAATGCTTTGCAGTCATGAATTAAGTTGAGGAGGTTGTGCTTGTAACATCTGTGTCCAGCAGGTGGCACTGTTTAACTTCAAATATGAGCTCCCAACATGTAACTATAACCTAACTTATCTCCCAAAGGGGAAATTTTTTGAGAGAAAGAGGATGCCATTAATAGTTACACCTTGGCAGCAGACAAGACTGGGGCCATCCTAACTTAGCCAATCACTGCAGAAACATTGCCCACCCTCAGTAGATTCATTCCATAAATAACTGCTGAGCACTTGCTATGTGCCAGGCAGCACAGAGTTTGAAAGGTAAAAAGAGAAAACTTCAACTCTCAAGAAACTTTATGAATCACGATGTAATCATATGTTGTAAAACACATGCTTGAAACATTTTAAATATATTTCCTCTTTACTTGAGGGATACAATTACACAAAGCCATAGCAATGTGAAAAAGAAAATATTATGAATGAGTGGCTGTGCTGTTGACTTGGAAGTGACCCGTAGCAGACCCTCCAGTGGGTTTTCAGAGGTAGAAAGTTGCGAGGGTGGAGATTATCATTCTGTCTTCCTCAGAGCAGCTGGTGGATTTGAACCGTGTAGCGCAATTCCTTACCACTGGCATCGTCGGTAGGGAGTTGCAATGCTGACCCAGGGGTGTTGCCTCTCTAGCTGGTCTAATGCACCAGCGGCTTCTTAGGAGAAAGATAAGCAGAGTCTCTTCCCGTGCGGTTTACAGTGTCTGAAACCTCTCGGAGGATCAGCTGTGAGTGGTCCCTGCTTGTCGGCAGTGAGCTTGGCATTTAAGTGCTATCTGGCGGCGTCTTGTTTAATATCGACACTGTATTAAATTTGTCTGATTCAGAATATCCCATGCCAGTCCATCTCGTTTCTCTAGTACCTAGTTTGTCAATGTTTGTGCGTTCCATTTCTTTAACAGTGTCCCACTTTCCTACGTTCATGCTTCTCACATTCCACGTTCCAGTCACTAGCGTCTGCTTACAACTGTTCCTCCTCCTCTGTGTTTTCATATTTGAGGGCTCAGCCTTATCTGCTAGTCTACTCTAAGTGTGCTCTGTTGTACATAAGGCTTTTGAAAGCCTATAACAACATTCTTCTAGGTCATATAGCCATGCTCAGTCCACTTGTTGTACAGAGAGGTAACTCGTGGTTGCTGTGAAGCTGAACACTGTGACACTGATGCGTCAAATGTGATAATGGTTACCCATGGTGGACAGTGTTTGGTGGTGCTCCTCCATTAAAACAAGCTCAGAAGCAGGAGTGGCATCCACTTCCGAAATAGCTTGCCTCTGGAAACCCTATGAACCTGGAGAAAGGATGAAAGTTACACAACTGTCTAGGTCTTTTTGTTCATAGTGTCGATATGAGTCACCTACGACTTGACGACATTTAACAACACAACAACATTTCTTCAGAAGTGGATGGCCCGTCCTTCTTCCTAGTCTGTCTTAATTTGAATGCTCAGCTTTAGAACAGCATCTGACAGACAAGCATTTTATAGAAAAGAGCAGAAGAAATACATTTGCCAATTATAGAAGCAACCAGTAAATTCACTGTTGCTCTGTGCCCTTGGCACATGTGTTTTGACCCATCCCTTCCTCTGCTGCACCAGCATCTCCTTCCACTCGCCCCCTACCCCATTCAACAACTCCCTCTCCCTGTCCAGCCCTTGATATGATAGCTTAGGTCTCAAGCCTTCTGTCACAGTCAACAACACTCTTGGTACCAGCAACCAGGAAATCAAAAGATGAATTGCATTAGGAAAGTCTGCTGTCAGGGACTTCTCCAGAGTACTGAAGAGTAACGACATCAGTCTGGAGGCTAAGGTTCACCTGATCTAGGCCATGGTCTTCACAGTTACTTGCTATGCATCAGAAAGCTGGACAAATGACTAGGGATGATAGAAGGAGAGTCGATGCATTTGAACTGTGGTGCTGGAGAAGAGTATTGAGTATACCATGGACTGCTAGGAGAACAAGTAGGTTCATCCTAGAGAGGGTGAGACCAGGTTGCTCCTTGGAGGCAAGGATTCTGAAGCTTTGTCAGAAATACTCTGGGAATGATGCAAGGAGGGACCAGTCCTTAGAGAGGGATGTCATGCTTGGGAGAGTGGAGGGACAGTGCAAGAGAGGAAGATCTTCTGTGAGATGGATTGACTCAGTCATTGGGATAATGGGGGCAGGTGTGTCAGAGACAATAAGATTGGCACAGGATAGAGCAGGGTTTAGGGCTGTTGTACATTGGGTCACTGTGAGTAGCAAGCGACTCAAAAGCACATAACAACAACAACAACAACAACAAATCAAAGTAAATTGATAGAAAACATAGAGGTATGTTTTGACAATTATCTTACCTATAAAATATATTCTTGATCTTAATACAAGTTCTATTTTCATCAAATTGTTCACATACTGACAGTTGCCCAGTTGTTTCATGAAGTTATAATACCACTCAATTGATTTGAGGTGAAAATGAACTTTAGTTTTGTTTGGCCTTAAAACAGTGTTTTCTTCCAATGCAGGTTCTCAGAGCGCATATCCTGCCACTGACTAATGTTGCCCTTAACAAGTCGGGCTCCTGGTAAGAGTCTCTATGTATTTCTCATTTTTAACTTGTGAAGGGATAGGAAGTGGCCTAAGGCTTTTTGTGGTTGAAGATGCCCACTGAGTATGGAACATCTTCACCTTTTTAGTTTGGTCTTAAAATGAGTATAGAGGGCGCTTGGGTGGCCCAGTGTGTAAAGAATTAAACTGCCAACCCAAATGCAGGGGGTTCAAATCCACAAGACACTTTGCCAGAGGAAGAGAGGCGGTCTCTTCTCATGTGATGACAGCCTCTGAAACCCAATTGGAGGATCAGCTCTGAGTCAGTTCTGATCTGACAGCAATAAACAACAACTGAATATAGAGGAGAAATAGAGGCCCTCTGTCCCATGACCTTGATTCTGAACTCAGTCTATATGCCCCATGGTGCTAACTGAAGTCTGGGTGGGTGTATATTGATGGCTCAGCAAAGAGTGCAGCTGAGGTGTGAGCTCACTGAGTGCTGAGGGAGGAGCTGATGGCTGGTGTGGCCAGGAAAGGATGACGTCACACGTGGCAGTGGGAGCAGGCAGACCACGACAGCGTCAGGGTCACGTGTGAGGCGTGGATGCAGATTGACTGTTCTCCAGGGTTTGGCATCTTTTTTTTTTTTTAATTGGTTTTGTTTTCTTATTTTTTCTGTGTGTACCGTCAAATTGGATCTGACTGGTACAGGAGGAGATTGTCCCTGCTTCTCCAGCAGAGCATCTGGTGGATTTGAACAGTGGGTTTGGCATCTTAATGCATGGTCAGCAGACCTTTAAACCTTGAGTACGGCTCAGTTCAGCTTGAAATCTGAGGTGCTGAGCAGGACAGATGAAGTAGAAATGTCATTTTATTATTATTATTATTCATTTTAATGAAAATTTAGAGATTTTGGATTTCCATTTGTTCATTGTTGAACTTTTCTCCCTGCCCCTCCCCCCGCCACCTTCCAGTTCGTTCTTCTCTTTGAAAAGTAAAAGAAAAATTCTTTCATTGTTATATGTTTCTTACCCTGAAGTCCGTTCTACTGTGCAGCCTTCGTTCTGGACTCCTGTCATCACAATCATACCCAATCACTTATTCGTTTTAAACAGTTCCCTCATCTGTTTCAATGAGGTACACATTATTGAACCCATCTTTCTCAGTCTCCCCGCAACCCTGATGTCAGTCCTGTTTTACAATAGCACTGTGTAGTATTTGTCCTTTTGTGACTGACTGAGATAGTTCCCTCAGCATAAGGTCATTTTTTTACTCAAATATAAACATATACATGTCTCCTCCTCATTGCTATCAAGGCAAAACCCTCCACTGGATTTCTGAGGCCATAAGTCACGTGGGACATTTCCCAGCTTTCTCCTTCAGAGTTTCTGATGCATTAGAACTGCCAGAGAGGTTCAACCCTTGTTAGCAGCACAACTTCGTACAGGCTCCCTATTTCCCCATGCATGAGTGTAGGAATGTGTGTGTGTGTGTGTGTAGTTAAGTGCCTTTGGGTTGAGTGCAATTCATAGTGACACTGGGAACAATAAATGTGAACTCTCTCCTCAGCATTTTGTCCCATCCTTTGAGACCTTTGCTGCAGACACTGTGTCAATCCATTTCATTGAGAGTTGTCCTCTCCTCACTGACCCTCTACCATTCTGAGCATGATGTCCCTGTGAGAGAAATCGCCTCTCCTAATGTGTCAAAAGTATGTGAGGCGAAGCGTACCATCTTTGCCCTCAAGGAATATTCTTGTTGCACTTTCTCCAACACAGATCTGTCTGTTCTTTTGGGCCCATGAGATATTCAGCACTCTAACACCATGACTCAAATACATTTATTCTCCTACACACACGTGCGCACACACACTTGCTGAAAGGAGTCCTGCTGGCATGGTTGTTAAAAATGATTGGCTGCTAACTAAAAGGTCTGTAGCTTGAATCCACCAGCACTCTTCTTTTGTAAAGATTGTCACCTTGGGAAGCCTGAGGGTCATTCTCTCTCCATAGAATTACCAGGACTCGAATTGACTTGACAACAGTGGATATTTTTGTTGTTGTTGTTGTTGTTACATAGACAAAGAGCCCTGGAAGCGCAGTGGTTAAATGTTCAACTTCTAACTGAAAGGTTGGTAGTTCAAACCCACCATTTGCTCCACAGGAGAAAGCTATGGCAGTGCACGTCTGTAAAGATTTATAGCTTTGGAAACCCTAAGGGGAAGTTCTGCTCTGTCCTACAGGGTCACCATGAGTTGGAATTAATTCAATAGCAACTATTTGTTCTTTGTGGCATGTGCAGATGTTGTTGTTGTTATGTGTCATTGAGTTGCCTGCAGCTCATAGTGACCCTATGTACAACAGCTCTGAAGCCTGTCCTGTCTTAAACCAGTCTCACTGACTCTGACACACTTACCTGCATTGCCCTAGTCACTGTATCAATCCATCTCATCTGGGTTCTTCCTCTCCTGCACTGTCCCTCCACCCTTCTGAGCATGATGTCCTTCTCCAAAGACCACTCTCACCTGGCCACATGCCCAAAGTATGTGAGATAGAGCTTCAAAATCCTAGCCTCTAAAGGAGAAACTTGGTTTCACTCTCTCCAAGACAGACCTATTTGTTTTCTTGGCTGTCCACGGTCTGTTCAAGACTCTTCTCCAGCATCACAACTCAACAGCATCAGTTCTTCTTCTGTCATCTTCAGTCATTGTCCAGATATCAAGTAATTGTGAAGACCATGGCCTGGATCAGGTGCACCTTAGTCTCGTTGCTTCTCAGCAGACATACAGTCCTGTAAATATAAAGTGAAGGAAGGGCCTGGGAGAAGACTCTAGAGAGAATTCCCAGCAGAGCGTCGAAGCTACATAGCTCTTCAACTCTCCTGTTGAGTTGGGTTTAGGCTCTTGGATGGTTTTCTTCTCTATCATTACTCCTTGAAAGGTACCCTGACTTTCCAATTTACATGTTTCTTTTGGGGAAAGCTGATATCTTTTTGTTAAATACATGAAACAATTTATGTATAAGAGCTTTTATTTTTAAATGAAAAGCTCTTTTCTATGGAAATATTGAAAGAGTAACTAAGATGTTATTTTACTGAAAAATGTTAGAGAATAACCTCGCTGTGCCTGTAGTATAGTTGTTGTTGATTACTGTCAAGTCGAGCATGACTCATAGCGACCCTATGAACAAACGTCCTGAAACCCCTCTACAGTTATCGGTATTTATCAAAGTTCATAGAGTTTCTGGAGGCATATTGTTTAAGAATCTGTTAAATGATTGGTTTATTTGTGAAGCAGTTGTTTATTGGATGCTGACCTGTGCTGGAATCATCGTCCAGTCCCTGGGGATGGTGGTGGTAAGCCCGATGGATGGAAGGGACAGCGTATTTCAGAGAAGTGCTCTGCTCTTCAGCGACTAGCAGAGAAGTCAGGGTGGCAGGTCAATGTGTGCTCCAGGGAGGAGTTGAGGTCCCAGGGAACACTGGGTTCCCAGTGGCCTCATGGACCCTGAACAGAAGTTAGGATTTTTCTCCAGATTGCTGGGAAGCTGTTTGAAGAAGGTTAAAATTAGAACCTCAATTCTTGTGGGGAAAAATAGATTGCAAAGGTCCACATATGAGTCAAGACTCTTCTGAAGTGTGTTCAGGCAAGAGATGGAGGCAGTGGAGCTGGTGAGAAGCTGTCAGTGTTGACAGCACTGACGCATTGGACGTGCCATGTGAGGGAAGGAGGGCACTCCAGGATGATGCCAAGGTTTTGAAGTCGACCCCACTGGGAGAACGGCGACATGCTTCCCGTGACAGATTAGAACTTCAGAGATGATCCTGACTGCTGCCTGTGTTGCTGCTGCTGTTAGGTGCTGGCGAGTTGGCTCTGACTCGCAGTGACCCTGAGGTCAGCAGAGTGAAACGTGGACCATTCCTGCTCCGTCCTCACAGTCGCTGCTCGAAGTGAGCTGACTGTTGGGGCTGCTGTGCCAGCCCATCCCCCTGAAGGTCTGCCTATTTCTCGAAGTTTCCAAGCATGAGTTCCTCCCTCAGAGACTGCCCCCTCCTGACCACATGGCCAAAGTCTGTGAGAGGAAGTCTCCCCATCCACCTGAAAACCTGCTGGCTGTGCTTATTCCACCATAATTGGGAGAATTACGCCACGCAGGATCTAATAATATGTTACATATAATGACGTTATACGGAAATGATTCCTGATGCCTTACTCTTTGTTTCATGACTCGGTCTACCCATTTAGAAATTGCTCTAGATGTGTCTGAACTTGGTGCTTTATACTCGGTTTGCCTTGTAAAAAGCAGAGTAAATTGGGTCATGAGCCTGCAGGTGACACCCGGGGCCCTGGGGAAGCCACCATTGCGCTCACCCTGTGACATGTGCCCTGTGCCATGTTCCCTGTACCAGCTTCATCACGGGGAGCTACGACCGGACGTGCAAGCTCTGGGAGACCGCGTCCGGAGAGGAGCTGCACACACTGGAGGGCCACCGGAACGTGGTCTACGCCATCGCCTTCAACAACCCCTATGGGTAAGAGGACGGCCACCCTCCTGCGGTATCGCTCAGCCACTCACTCCTCCGTCCGACTCTGGGGGGAGGTAGGAAAGAGATGGTGTGCTGAGAGCCCACTGTGTGACCCACAAGCCTCCTTCAAGCCCTGTAAAAGCCCGCTGATGCAGGTATTAATAGCTCTCTTTAAACCGGTTGCCGTTGAGCCAGTCCATGGTGATGCCGCACACGCCAGGATAGAGCAGGGCTCCACAGAACTGTCAGTGGCTCATTTTCCACAAGGAGATTCCCCAGGCAGAATAAGAAAAATGAAGTTCTCTTCCCAGGATCAGACAGCAGAACGGAGGAGAGCCACATTCAGGCCCAAGTAAGGCTGGCCCCCAGGTCCCGAGGGTTCCTGGGACCTTTGTAAAACTTAGCTGATGCCTCTGGGAACTAGGACAGACATGCATAGCGAGGTGTAGTTTGTTTGCAGTCTTGCCAAGAAGAAATATCTAAATGTGTATCAGTGACATGCTAAATAACAATACCAACAACGACAGAAGCATTTTTAGCCAACTTGGAGCCATGGAGCCAGGAGTACGCTCACCATTCTGCATCCTTTGTATGTGGTGAGCTGCCCACGCCGCAGTCCCCTGGACACCTGTGGTGACTGGACTACAGACCTGTCTGCTGCTTCTCTCTCAGCCCTCTGCTTTGGTTTTCCACTGATCTTTTAAAATTTTTTTTAACTTTTAAAAAAAT